GGCAAGCCCCACTCCCTCTACTCTTTCTGATGGTGGGAAGGAGGGAAGGGAGAAGCAGAGAGTAGACACTGCCATCAGCCAGGTTCCACTAACTAACTTCCTCCCTATGCCAGGTGAGCCAGGTGAAGGGGGCTGCCCGGCTGACTCTGCTGCAGGGGGCTGGCCTCGATGTGCAGCGCTGGCTGAAGCCAGCCATGACCCAGGCCCAGGATGAGGTGGAGCAGGAGCGACGTCTCAGCGAGGCTCGGCTGTCCCAGAGGGACCTCTCTCCAACCGTGAGCTCCTCCCCTGACACTACCCATCCTTACTTAGAAGTGAAAAACTCCAGTGGAACGCAAACCCTATAAAACTGGAATCACAGTTGTGCCTAACTCAAAGGGTTATTGTGAGGTTTAAGTGAAATCATTCATATATCATTCTTTACATAATTTCTGGCATAGAATCCTCAGTAAATTTTTATTATGAGCATAATAGAATGATTAAGAAGTAGGGTTCTGGGGCAATCTGTAAGGGCTTTGAGTACCAGCCACTCCACTTATGAGCTGTGCAATCTCGAAAAGTGACTTAACTTTTCTGAACCCCAGTTTCCTCATAAATAAAGTGAGGTTAATAGTTGTGCAAAACTATTAGCACTGGGTCATTATGAAGATTAAATGAGACAATATATACAAGATACTTTGCATTGTGCTTGGCACATAGTATGCACTCAATTGCTGTAACTCTGCTATTACTGTTGTTATTATCCTACTCTGTGGTGACTGTGGTTGTATACATGGTAAGTGGATGGGTGCAGCTACCTTGGAGGGGGATCCATGGTGTCCTTTACGGGAAAGATGGAAGAGTGGGAGATAGAACCAGTGCTTGAGAGCGGGCCCCATATGAGGTCTGTTCTTTGCCCCTCTAGGCTGAGGATGCTGAGCTTTCTGACTTTGAGGAATGTGAGGAGACAGGAGAGCTCTTTGAGGAGCCTGCCCCCCAAGCCCTGGCCACTAGGCCCCTCCCCTGCCCTGCACATGTGGTATTTCGCTATCAGGTATGAATGGGGGTGGGGACCTTTGATGGGGGTGGGGACCTTTGATGGGCAAGGGTCAGGGACAGCCAAGTCCTGAATCCTTCGTGTGTGGCCCAGGCAGGGCATGAGGATGAGCTGACAATCACGGAGGGTGAGTGGCTGGAGGTCATAGAGGAGGGAGATGCTGACGAATGGGTCAAGGTGGGTATGGACCCTGGGCTCTGACCTTGGGTTGGGGGCAGTAGGAGGGACTTCTCTGTGGCCCCCATGGACCCTTCTAGGCAAAGCTAGAAGCCTGAGTAGAGGAGAGCCAGGGTCATGGACTGCTGAGGTAAATCTAATATCTGTTCACATTGCTGGGTGAGCAGGCTCGGAACCAGCACGGTGAGATAGGCTTTGTCCCTGAGCGGTATCTCAACTTCCCGGACCTCTCCCTCCCAGAGAGCGGCCAAGACAGTGACAATCCCTCTGGGGCAGAGCCCACAGGTAAGAAAGGGAAATTTGGGGTTAGGGGACCCTGGGTATGGTGAAGAATTGTTAGGGGTTGTAGCCCTGGGGTGTCACGGTCCTGGGGCACTGCCACCCACCTCCCTCTCACCGTTTCTCCTGGGCCTCTGTAGCATTCCTGGCACGGGCCCTGTACAGCTACACCGGACAGAGTGCAGAGGAGCTGAGCTTCCCTGAGGGGGCGCTCATCCGTCTGCTGCCCCGGGCCCAAGATGGAGTAGATGACGGCTTCTGGAGGGGAGAATTTGGGGGCCATGTTGGGGTCTTCCCCTCACTGCTGGTGGAAGAGCTGCTTGGTCCCCCAGGGCCACCTGAATTCTCTGACCCTGAACAGGTGAGGCTTACCTTCTCCCTGAACTACCCAGGCACCTCTGGGTTGACCCTTCCACCCCAGTAAAGCCTCATATTCATTTTAATGCCCCCTCTGCTCCCCAGGTTTACCTCCTGTAGTGGCCTGGGCCTCCCCATCTCCTATGGGTGGGCAGGGGAAAGGGAAAACCAAGGCAGCCTTCATAGGAGTTTGGGGGTCCTACTTTAGTGCTGGATAGATCTGAGTTCAAATTTCTATTGTATAACTTGGGCAATGATTTAATCTCTCTGAGCTTGTTTCTTCACATGTAAAATGGGGATAATACCTACTTTAGCAGGCTCACTGTCATAATTAGAGATAATCGAGGTAAAGCCCCCCCGCCTTTTTTTTTTTTGAGACGGAGTTTCGCTCTTGTTGCCCAGGCTGGAGTGCAATGGGGCGATCTCGGCTCCCCGCAACCTCCACCTCCCGGGTTCAAGCAATTCTCCTGTATCAGCCCCTCTAGTAGATGGGATTACAGGCGCGTGCCGCCACGCCCAGCCAATTTCCTATTTTTAGTGGATACAGGGTTTCTCCATGTTGGTCAGGCTGGTCTCGAACTCCTGACCTCAGGTCATCCGCCTGCCTTGGCCTCCCAGTGTGCTGGGATTACAGGTGCAAGCCACCATGCCCGGCCGAGGCAAAGCCTTTAGTGCAGTGGAATGCAGAAGGTGTTTCAATATAAGATACCTATTGTTATAATGTATATACATACAGCAGAAAGAGAATAGGAGTGGGCGTCAGGAGACCTGGGTTCTAGCCAGCACTCTGCCAATAACTGGCTCTATGATTTTGGACCTGGCTTAACCTGGGTCTCACTTCTAACACAGGAGTCATATTAATAAAAATGCCTACCTCATGGGGTAGTGGTGAGGATTGAATGAATTAGTACATGTGAAGTGCTAGTAGAACACTTGAGACATAGTATACATAAGCGTTCAATACATATTGACTGTTGAATATCTGTCAGCTACACCCCCCCATCTTAATGCAAGCATTTGGCCACTTCCTGTGTTGGGAAGTGATGAGGAAGGAACTGAAGATGGGATGAGAGGAAAAGCTGGTAAAACCTCCCCACGTGCCAGGAATAACTGTGTGCCCACCCCACCTCCAGATGCTGCCGTCCCCTTCTCCTCCCAGCTTCTCCCCACCTGCACCTACCTCTGTGTTGGATGGGCCCCCTGCACCTGTCCTGCCTGGGGGTGAGTGGAAGGAATTGGGAGCCCTGGGAGGCTAACAGATAAGGAAGAAGGAGGAAGCTTGGACTCCCAGGTCACGGTCTGGTCCTCTCCATGCCCTCAGGCATCTTGCAATAAGGTCTATTGCAGCTTGGTGGAGAGCACTTGCCTGGGCTCTGGAGCCAGGCTGACTGGTTCAGATCCCGCTCTGTCATTTCCAAGTGTGTGACTCGAGGTGGGATTCTGAACCTGTCTGGGCCTCAGTTTATGTTCTTTATGAGGTAAGGAAAAGGTACTAGCTCATTGAATTGTTATGAGAGTTAAAAAAGATGCCTGTGGACTACACAGCATTGTGCCTGGCACACAGTAAGTATTCAGTCACTATTTTAAAAATTAGCTAAGTTCTCTCATGGTGTCCTCCCAATATGCACCTTTTGCTCCTAGTGTCCAGATACCTAGCTTTGTATCATTTTTTCTGATGCCCACTTTTTTTTCTTTTTTAAATGTCTATAGCAGTTTTATTATTATTTATTTTAGATTCAGGAGGTACATGTGCTTGTTTGTCATATGGATATACTGCATACTAGTGGAGATTGGGCTTCTAGTGTACCTGTTACTCAAATAGTGAACATTGTACCTGATAGGTAATTTTTCAACCCTCACCCCTGCCTCGATTCCTACCTTTGCCTCCTTTGGAGTCCTGGGAGTCTGTTATTTCCATCTCTATGTCCATGTGTAGCTGTTGTTTAGCTCCCACTTATAAGTGAGAACATGCAATATTTGGTTTTCTGTTTCTGAGTTAGTTCATTTAGGATAATGGCATCCAACTCCATTCATGTTGCTACAGACGACATGATTTCATTCTTTTTAATGGCTGTGGAATGCCTGCCTTTTCTAAAACCTTCTGGTACTCCCACCTTGTCCACAAGGAGTCTCCCTCCCTGGAGTTACCATCATCTCCACCACCCCAAGTTCACTTTGCATGACTTAGCACTTAGTCATTTATTGTGTTTATTGAGGTTTCATTATTGGTTTCTTGACAGCCACTGAGGGTAGGAGCGCTATGTATCCTATCTGCCTTTTATATCTGTTTTATACCTTGAGCAGAGCTGATTATACAGCAGTTACCCAATAAATGTTGAGGACAGTGGATAGAGTGATGGATTTTATGGTCTAGGATGGTGACCATTAATTTAGCAAATATTTATAGAATGCCACTTTCCTAAGTGCTGGAGATACAGCATTGAACAAAACAAAGTCTGAAGACTGACTTGTGGTTCTTATTTCCAGACAAAGCCCTGGACTTCCCTGGGCTCCTGGACATGATGGTACCTCGACTCAGGCCGGTAAGGGCCCTTGCCTTGGAGGAAATTGTATTTAGAGGGGTTATTCCAATCAGTCCTGTTTTGTCTGGTATACCCTTAAGGGAGGACTCTGGAGCACTAACTGTGTGTTCCCTACAGATGCGTCCACCACCTCCCCCGCCGGCTAAAACCCCGGATCCTGGCCACCCAGATCCCCTCACCTGAAGGCCAGGGAATCCTTGACCCCCGGTGATGCTGCTGTCCCTATCTTCAAGCTGTCAGACCACACCCTCAATGATCCAGAGCAACACAGCCAAAACCTGGAATCTCCCTATTTCCACCCTCACCTCCAAGGGTAGAAACTTGCCCCTTCCCATTTCTGGGACTGGAGCCCACTCCTTTTTTTCCCAGTGTCCTATCATCTCTAGGACTGGAACTACTCCTTTCTCTTCTGCCATCACCCTATCTAGGGTGGTGAAATGCCTGAAATCTCTGGGGCTGGAAACCATCCATCAAAGTCTCTAGTGGTTCTGGCCCACCTCTTTCCCCACCCTGGCTCTGTGACCCACCCCACTCTGGATGCCAGGGTCACTGGGGTTAGGCCGGGGAGAGGAACAGGCCTTGGGAATCAGAAGGCGCTGGAGCCAGGATGCGAAGCAGCTGTAATGGTCTGAGCGGATTTATTGACAATGAATAAAGGGCACGAAGGCCAGGCCAGGGCCTGGGCCTCTTGTGCTAAGAGGGCAGGGGGCCTATGGTGCTATTGCTTTAGGGGCCCACCAGGGGCAGGGGCCTGCTCCCAGCTGCCACGCTCTATCATATGGAGCGAGGTGTTGGGGAAGGCGGGTCAGGCAGCCTGTTGCAGGCAGGGGAAGGAGAAGAGACTGAGGGGCCATGACCTCTCCTGAGGCCCCCAGCCTGAGACCGTGTAACTCCAGGTGGAAGTTGAGCTGGTCCCTCAGCTGGGGGGCAGTGCTGTCCAGTGGAGGGGAGGGCCTTCACGCCCACCCACACCCTGGCCCTGCCAGCTGGTAGTCCATCAGCACAATGAAGAAGGAGACTTGGAGAAGAGGAAGAGTAACAGTATTGCTTCCTGTTCAGGCTGTATCCAGCTTTTCCCCTGGGGCTGCAGGACCTTCCCTACCTCCACCACCAAACCAAGGGATTTATAGCAAAGAGTAAGCCTGCAGTTTATACTCTGGGGGTTCAGGGAGCTGAAAGGCTTAAGTAGTTTAAGTAGGTGATGGGAAGATGAGATTACCTCATTTAGGGTTCAGGCAGACTCACCTCACATACCCCCTGCTCCCCGTGGTAGAGACACCTGAGAGAAAGGGGAGGGGTCAACGAGAGAACAGGAGTAGGTCATATCAGTGCCCCTCAAGAGTAGAGAGCAATAAGAGCCCAGCCCAGTACAGTCCTGGCTGTGTTTTCCTACCTGGTGATCGGAAGTGTCCGGTTTGCTTTGCTGCCCATTTGCCTCTTGAGTGGGCAGCCCTGGGCTTGGGCCCCTCCCTCTGTCCCTCAGTGTTGGCTCTGCAGAAGCTCTGGGGTTCCCTTCAAGTGCACAAGGGGCTAGGCTGCTGTCCCTGAGTCCTCCATTCTGTACTGGGGGGCTGGCTAGGACCTGGGGCTGTGGCCTCTCAGGGGGCAGCCTCTCCATGGCAGGCATCCCTGCCTTGGGCTGCCCTCCCCCAGACCCCTGACCACCCCCTGGGTCCTGTCCCCCACCAGAGCCCCAGCTCCTGTCCGTGGGGGAGCCATCACGGTGTTCATGCAGTCCATAGCGCTTCTCAATGTGTGTCACCCGGAACCTGGGAGGGAAGGGAACACTGGGGTTTAGGACCACAACTCAGAGGCTGCTTGGCCCTCCCCTCTGACCAGGGACATCTTGAGTTTGGTGGCTACTTCCCTCTGGCCTAAGGTAGGGGAGGCCTTCTCAGACTGTGGGGCACATTGTGTAGCGTGACTTCCGCTGGAGCTCCCAGTCCAGGAGGAAAGAGCCAAGGCCCACTTTTGGATCAGGTGCCTGATCATTGGGCCCCCTACCTCAACCTCACTTTCCCTGGAGCACCTGCCCCACCTGCCCACAGAGAACACAGTGGTCTCCCCTGTCCGGGGGCGGCTTTTTCCTTCCTTGGAGCGTCCCTGACGGACAAGTGGAGGCCTCTTGCTGCGGCTGCAATGGATGCAAGGGGCTGCAGAGCCCAGGTGCACTGTGTGATGATGGGAGGGGGCTCCATCCTGCAGGCTGGAGGTGGCATCCACACTGGACAGCAGGGAGGAGGGGAGCAAGGGTAACATTTCCATTTCCCTTCATGTTTTGTTTCCTATGTTCTTTCAGCATGCTCCTTAAAACCCCAGAAGCCCCAATTTCCCCAAGCCCCAACATTTTTTCTTGTCTTTATCTAATAAATTCAATATTAAGATGTTAGTGACCACATGTTCTTCCTCCCAGGGCTGTTTGCTAAAAAGAACATTGCTTAACCCAAAGGAGTGGCACTAGAGGTAAATGTTAGGTTTGATGACATCTAGATGAGAGAGATGTTTTGAAGGAATCGAGATTTCTACAAAACTTCTTTCTTCCTATAAGTTAGCCAGCTTTGCCCTTCCCCCAACCCCATACATGCAAGGAGACTGGGAGAGGATTGTGCTGGAGGAGAGGATACTCTCCAAGGCAAGCTAAGTCATGCTGGCCCTTGTTTCCAGCTCACCTGGACAGCTGCACTGTCCCTTCTCCTTCACTGTCCCCCAGCATCTCCTTCAAGGCCTCAGCATTGGCTGAGGGAAGAAGGAAAAGAGGGAGTCAGTGAAGGTGGAGGTCAGGGCAAGAGAAGGTTGGAGAAGGAGGGAGCAAGGGGCTATGCTAGACCCACCTTCATTTTGGATGATGCAGCGAACAATCCTCTCTACTGTGTCCTCATTCATGTCATCGTCCTCAGCTGAAGGATGAAAGAGATTGGCAAGGAAGCAGGAATGAGTCAGCTTTGGGGGAACATTACCTGGTGGCTCCTATCATTTATTGCTTAGGACATACCCTTTTACCTACTTGCTATCATGCTGGACCTCAGCATTTCAGGGACCAGAAAAGATGGGGACACCAATGCAAGCCCAAGACTACCACCCAGAGGACCCTTGCTGCCCATGCTGCCTTCTCTAGTTTTGCTTTCAGAGTGGTGTCACCCCACTTGCTAATTCAAGAGTGCATCACCAAGCTTCCTGAGCAGGCTTGATCAGGATTTGGCCTGGGTCTGTTGGTCAGGGAGGCAGAGGTGAGGGGCAGAGGTGTGGGGAGAAGGATGAAAGGTTACTGAGCCAGGGTTCCAGGCTCCACTCACGGGGCTGAAGCTGGGCATCGTCAGGCTCGGAGCCCCTCGACGTGCGGCAGCGGTAGCCCTTCTTCTTGAGCACGTGGCAGATCATGAAACCTACCAGGCCCATGAGGAAGAAGACCAGCACAAGCAGGAAGAGCATATACAGCCCATGTTGGGGCGGTTCCAGGTCAGGCTGTGGTTCCGACATGAGGCCCTGGGGGGCGAGCGCGGGCCAGGGCGCCTCCTGGGTTTAGGGGGCTGCAGCTGGGAATGGGGGAGGGGTAGGAATGCAGTCCTCAGGATCTGAAACAAGCACGTCTAAGACGTTCGGCTAAGGTCCGGCTCCACCCTCTACCCAACCAGGGAGCTGTCCGGGCCAGGGGTGCTGTTTCGTCAATACGGCCCAAGGCAAGAGGTCAGCGGCTACGCAAGCTCTCTACCACGACCCTGGTGCCGCTTCCCCGACGCCCCGAGCGTTCCCCTTTCCAGCTCGTTCGCGCTTCCGTCCCTCCCAAGGACACTGCAGCACGAGATGGGACGGAATTCTTAGGCGGCGGGAGCAGAAATCGTGCCTGAGTCAGCGCCCGCACCTCCTCCGCGCCGGCCTGAGCCAGGCCTCTGCAGCCCCCTCCTCTCAGTACTCCCGCACCCCTCTCCCTTTTTGGTTTCTCCCACCCTGACCACCTGGCCCACCCGGTACCGGTGGTTTGGTTCTGGTTCCGGCTTCTGCTCAGGTTCCGGCTCCAGGGGCGTCCTAGTGCGGCTCGGGGCCCCCGACGCCCTTCCGGCGCTCATCCCTTGATTCCTCCCCTCCCCCTTCGCCGCCTCACCGGCCCCGGGCTGTGGCTGCGGATACCCGCGCCGTGGCAGGCGGGGGGAGGGAAGGACAGAGAAGGATGCGGGCTGACTGAGAGCGGCGGCAGGCTCCGGGCAACTCCGGCCCTGGGTCAGGGAGATCGCCTCCGCAGCCGCCCTGGCTTCCCAAATGCCTTCGCCCGTCGCGGGCCCAGAACCAGGAGGCGGAGCGCAGGTGTGCGGGGCGGAGAGCGTGAGCTGTGCGCGCGCGTGACTGCGCCTGGCCCCCCCGGGGCAATGTGTGGCGCCGAGTCTAGGTCCGGGTAGGGGACAGGAGGTCCGGCGTGGGTGTTGTCCACTGGTCTATCCGCTACGCCTGGCGCAGCTCCTGCCCTCAGATGCCCCGACCAAGCGGAAAGTCAGGAATCTTCCCCGAGGGCTGGGGGAAGCCGGCTTTCCGCACCTTTGAGGGACGGAGTGGCGGGATCTTCGGAGCTTCCTAGAGAAGTGACCACGGCCTGCGCCCGGTTTGGGGCAAGCGGCTGGATGGGATGGCTCAGCTTCCCGAGGATCTGACCCCCGGCCGGAGAGAAATGGCCCTCGCATCCTAGGAGCGATGCTACCAGTTCCCCGCCCAACCCGGGACGCTCAAAGCCGCAGCTCCCGGGAGAGCGGAGCCAGGCGAGGGGCGGAGCTCCCCCGGGGGCGTGGCCTGGGTGTGGCTGGAGGCGGGACCGCAACGCCCAGTTCCGCAGAGGCAGGCTACGTGCTTGCGCAGCACGCACGGCTGGGGCGGGGTTGGCGGAGGGTGGCGGGCGGCGGGCGGCGGAGGCGCGGGGCCTGCTCCCGCCGGCACCATGGCCAAGACCGTGGCCTATTTCTACGACCCCGACGTGGGCAACTTCCACTACGGTGAGGAAACAGGGCTATGCATGAGGGTTGGGACGCGGAGGTTTTGAGGCGGGGGTTGCAACTCCAGGGGTGAGAGCTGACGAACTCTTTTCTCCCCACCCCCAGGAGCTGGACACCCTATGAAGCCCCATCGCTTGGCATTGACCCATAGCCTGGTCCTGCATTACGGTCTCTATAAGAAGATGATCGTGAGTTTCGCCGCCTCGGCCGGGGGTTGGTGGGGGGGCGAGCTGTGGCGGAAGGGATAGGTGGGCTGGACTGAGTGCATCAAGTGCGACCAGCCCCTAGAGTAGCGGGGAGCTGGATAGAAGACGCCGGAGTATCTTGAAAGTGCCGGGTGTTGGAGGTGGCGTTCTCTGCTTAATGGAAAGTACTTTCTCAGCTCAGGTCGGCCACCCTCTGACTGTAGGCACCCTAGCCCTTGGCCTAGGGTTAAGGTGATGTGGGGGCTGGTTTGAAGACAGAAGGAGTGTTCCTCCTCTGCATTTTAGAGTGTGGATAGGGCCTTGGCCTCACGAATTAGGTTTAGGGGAGCGGATATCACTGTATCAGGGTGTAAGGTTTACCCTCAGTTCCCACTCCTCTTTTGCCGCCTTTTTTTTACCTCCAAGGAGCTGGGGCTCCAGGGTGGGACGATACTACCGTGTTTGTAAATGTGTATGTGCGTGTGGAAGAGAGGAGATATCTTAGGTATTCCTTTTTCAGCCCGGAATACCTCTACATGGTTCTACTTAATCGCTATCCGGTTTTTCATCTCCCAGACATACACATGCTGTCTTCCCAGCTTGGAATTTATGGCTGTGATATGGGATAGTAACAGTTAAGCCAGGCCAGGTGTAGTGGCCCATGCCTGTAATCCCAGCACTTTGGGAGGCTGAAATGGGAGGATCGCTTGAGGCCAGGAGTTGGAGACCAGCTTGGGCCACAGTGGGATCCACATCTCTACAAAAATAAAAAATAAAAAAAGTAGCGATGTGTGGTGGGTGTGCCTGTAGTCCCAGCTGCTAGGGAAGAGATGTGTATAAGAGACAGGGCTGGAGTGCTGTGGTGTGATTTTTCGCTCATTGCAGCCTCCACCCCACAGGTCCAAGCAGTTCTTATGCCTCAGACTCCTGAGTAGCTGGAATTACAGGTGCCTGCCACCCTGCCCAAATAATTTTTGTATGTTTAGTAGAGATGGGGTTTCACCACGTTGGTCAGGCTTGTTTTGAACTCCTGACCTCAGGTGATCCACCAGCCTCAGCCTCCGAAAGTGCTGGGATTACAGGCATGAGCCACCACGCCCGGCCGAGTTTCTTATGATA